TATTTTCATAGTTTCATAGTTTTAGGGTCGGAAGGGACCTAATAGATCTTCTAGCCTGACCCCCCGCCAGGGCGGGAGAACAACAAAAAACCCTAAAAACAAAAACGGGACTCAAATGAGTCCAGCCAGGTAAGTATCCAGCCTCTTCTTAAAGATCCCCAGGGTAGGGGCCAGCACCACCTCCCTTGGAAGTTGGTTCCAGCTCCTAGCCGCCCTAACTGTGAAGTAGTTTTTTCGGATGTCCAATCTGTACCTCCTCTCCATCAACTTGTGCCCATTACTCCTTGTTATGCCAGCGGGGGCTAGGGGAAACAGCGTCTCCCCCAAACCCTTCTGGTTCCCCCTAGTGAGTTTATAGACGGTCACCAGGTCCCCCCTCAGCCTTCTCTTGTGGAGGCTGAATAGGTTCAGGTCCCGCAGTCTCTCACTGTAGGGTCTGCCCTGTTGTCCCCGGATCATGCGGGTGGCCCTCCTCTGGACCCTCTCCATGTTGTCCACATCCCTCCTGAAATGGGGCGCACAGAACTGGACACAATACTCCAGCTGCGGCCTGACCAGCGTCGCATAGAGGGGGAGGATCACCTCCCTGGCTCTACTCGAGATGCACCTGTGGATGCACGACAAGGTCCGGTTAGCCCTGCCAACCATGACCTCGCATTGTCGGCCCATGTTCATCTTGGAGTCAATAATGACACCAAGATCCCTTTCCGCCTCCGTGCTCTCAAGTAGGGAGTTCCCCATCGTATAAGTGTGCTGCTGGTTCCTACTACCCAAGTGCAGCACCCTGCACTTGTCCGTATTGAAACACATCCTGTTCCTGTTTGCCCACCCCTGTAACCTATCCAGATCCTTCTGCAATCTCTCTCTCCCTGCTAGCGTGCTCACCTCCCCCCAAATTTTGGTGTCATCAGCGAATTTAAACAGGTTGCTTTCCACCCCAACATCAAGATCGCTGATGAAGAAATTGAACAGCGCAGGCCCCAGGACCGAGCCCTGGGGGACTCCACTACCCACCTCCCCCACAAGTCGAGTAGATCCATCCACCACCACCCTCTGAGTGCGACCCTTCAGCCAATCTGCAATCCATCTGACCGTGTAGGCATCTATGCCACAGTCGCCTAGTTTATTAATTAGGATGGGGTGAGAGACGGTGTCAAAGGCCTTGCTGAAGTCCAGAAAGACTACATCCACCGCGACACCTGCGTCCATGGCCTTTGTGACCTGATCATAAAAGGCAATCAGGTTGGTCTGACATGATCTCCCCCTAATAAACCCATGCTGATTGCCCCTGAGCATCATTTCTGATGCCGGCCCATCACAAATGTGCTCCTTGATGATCTTCTCAAAGAGTTTCCCCAGGATTGAGGTAAGACTGACGGGCCTATAGTTGCCTGGGTCCTCCCTTTTCCCTTTCTTGAAGATGGGGACCACATTAGCTACCTTCCAATCGTCTGGCACCTGGCCCAAGCACCACGATCGCTTGTAGAGCCGTGCCAGGGGCCCTGCAATAACCCCAGTTAACTCTGGGCTGTGCAACTTAGCTCTTGTTAGGGTAACTTCAGTCTGCTCCACAAAGGTAAAACAAACAAATTTGTAGTTCTCCAGCATCCCAGTATGCACCACTCCCAGCTTCCCTCCCTACCCCCATATTGATAGATCCCAGGTGTCCTGGCTCATAGTCATGCCCCTACTTGCCAGCTCTCTAGTTTTGGGTCAGAGCTGGGCAGGCAAAAAAATGCTGTTAACCCTTAATGTACAACAGCTCACAGCACGTTCCAACTTTTAACACTGCTTGACATTCCACAGATTTAGTATGGTCTAAGTGTAATGTATAACTTTGCCCTCACACTTTGTGCTGATGGTTAAAGCATTCACCTAAAAGATGTGGATTCAAACTGCCTCAGGTCCCTCAATTGGTCCCAGGTATCCTACAACCAAGTGAGGGCTCTAACCACTGAGCCATTGTGCAAAATGGGGGGGGTACCCCCTCCTTCCACTATGTTTGGTACAGGACTACCTCCTATAGTGTGCTGTGAGAACACTATAGGATCATACTATAGTGTGATCAGGCCCTGCATGCAAGTGAGGCAGAGAAATGGCTAGTATACAATTCATGATGAGGCTTAACTGTGAACCCGGAAAGCCTTGTAAGTAAAAGTAATTTGTATATTGGAGGGGGTTGCATTCCTGTTACTGATCTACCTAATTATAAGGAGCTGGTTTATAAAACCGCCTGGTAACAAGAAGTGATTGTTCCCAAGAGAGAAACCCATTGACTTGTTAAATATATGCAGCTATGCATGGCAGCACGGCTGCACACACTCTAGACTAAGGGGTCTAATCCCCCATCAGCGCCTGAGGGATTTACGCATGTAACTTTCATTAATGCTAATAGAAGATAGCTGCATAATCCCTTTTGCAGCAAGGGAGAGAGGAGGCCCCCACTTCAAAGTCCACTGATCTAACCACTTGCAAGATAACATCTAATCACGCCTGTGAGGACGTCTCATGTTCAGCCCTTTAAAGTGGCAGTATAAGAGCACAGGACTGAATTTGAGGGAAGTTAGTCAGCCCTTCAACAGCCACCCTTTGTCTTTTTCCCCTTTGCAGCTATCTTTCAAATCATTCAGAGCATCAGGATGGGCATGTGAGAAGCAGGGAATCGACACTGACTTTACCACTCAACATGGTGGACCAGATACAAGTCTAGCCTGGCATACACGTGAAGAGGTCTTACCTGACAGTGCCTGCGCATTTCTTCTTGGGTGGGTCAGACCAAATTACCTTTTGACCTGTCATGCTGGTACATACATGTTTTAACTGCCACAACAGAAAAGGACATTTTGCTTTTCTATTGACTTAATGCATTAACCACATTGGTTAGCTATTCCAGTGCTGTTCAGTTGATTTATTTATTCTCTTACCTAATGTATTTATGTGATGGCTGTGTAAGTGCTTCTACTTTGTGTGTATATTAGAATTCTGTTCTATGCTGGACATTTGTTTTTATTACAAATAAATATTCATGTGCACCTCTATCACATTGGTTCTAGTTTCCCAAATGTTTGGCACTATAAGCAGACAAACGGGTATAGTTGTCTTTTTGGTAACATACACTAGCAGCCAGATCATGGGGTCCTTATTCGTACAAAGCTTTCAAAAGATCTGATCCACTTTCATACGAATATAGATAAAAAATTTGCCAGGCTGCAGCCTCTAGAATTATATTTGTGTATAAACATTTTAAGCAGACCTGCCTGATTTCTTTCTTGAGGGATGAGCATTCATCAGATCTGTAGCTCCAGTTATCCTGAAACTGTTCACAAATTCTCCGTATAATTTTGGCTGGAAAAAGTAATTCAGGGCTAGAACTCCTGTTGCAGCCCCCTGCCCTTATGTCCAATAGCTTAGGGTAGAGGTGTCAAATGCATGGCCTATATCTGGCTGTATCTGGTCTGCAGATCCACCATCTGGCCCACGGTGCTTCTGGCAGGCTAAGGAATTTGGGGGTAGGAGGCAGGGTTTGCTGTACAATGTGGGGGCAAGCAGCAGGGTGGGGATCGACAAAAGATGACTATGATCAATCAAAATTATACAAATACACACACTTACAATTCAAAGTGGTCTGCACCTCCATTCAACATTTTTTTAGGGGGCTGCAAATGAAAAAAAGGTTGAAAATCACTGATCCAGGAGGTTGGAGACACAGGGTCAATCCTTTCTTATGCTTGCCGGGATTTGAATCCACATCTCGGATCTCCGCGGAGTGCCCTTTCAACAGCAAAGTACCCAGAGGCCTGCTGGGAGCACTAAATGTGGCCTGTTGATGCTGTTCCCCGTTATGTACAATATTGAAGTGTTCACTGAACTACACAGAGAACAACTCTGATTTTGGTAACTAGGACACTTAGCACCTAACATGGGAAGTAGTTAGTAGCACTTGGATATCTATCTGCCTCTTAAGGCACCTAGATCCACCATTTTGATATTGCTGACACTCTCAAAATCACTGTTTAGCTGTCTCTTAACCCAATATATGCTAGGTTTCCACTATTGGGTATGTGCAAAACTGCTTCGAACAAGCTGTTTGGAGTAGCAAGGCTTTTGCTCAAATTAGAAGCCCAGGTATCTCACTAAGAGCTGTCAGTGCTGTGCTTAGCCAGCAATGGAAACCGTAGGTGCCTGTTGGGTTAGGCAGCAGTTGAGCAGCTGAAAGGATGCATGCGAGACGAGCAAAACTTTCTCCAGCTTTAATGAATGGCCCAATGCATCACACTTATTTTTTCAATATATTTTCAAAACACAATTGGAACCTTTGCAAATATATTATTGTTACTGAGCTGTAGGAGCAGTGCTGAGGACATATTTTGTAGCCCTTAATCTTCTGTCTATAATCCCACCCTCAAAACAGCAGCTGTAGTCTCTACCCATACCATAAGCACAGTCTCAGATGGCAGTGCAAGTCTGTAATTAGCTACAGACAGTCTTCTCCCTTCCCTTGTGCTCTTGCAGACTGAATATTGTTTACTTGGTGCTTCCCCCCCCAGGTATTGTGGACTGGTCTCTCCTAATCCAGAGTGCCCTGTGTTGTAGTGCACAGCCCATGAAGGGACAGATTTTCAAAGGCACAAGGGACCACTGGGTGTCCAACTCCACCAGTCATTGGGAGTTGGCTGCCTTTGAAATCCACCTTCTAACAGTTCTTTCAAGTGCTAAGGGCACAATTTCAAAACTCAGTGCCAAAAGCAAGGCTCCTAAACCCATTTTTAGGCATTTATGAAGCTGAATGTGTGTTGTCACAATTACTATTTATACTACATCAGCTTCTATAGAACGGGTTTTCTACACGCATGTAAGGTGCTGTGCAACTCTACAGTAAGAGGAAATACCTGCCAAGACAAAATCATTGAGAGTCCCTCATAGTCAGAAGTGGCACAACAGAGGTGCTTGACCCAAGTGTAGTGTGGGATGTCCAGATGACACTGCAGGCTGGGTCCAATAAGCACACAAGCATACAAGTAGATCGACAGTTGCTGAAGCTTCTTTTGCCTTGGGCATTTCTCCTGTTAAATTCAAAATATATCTTCCCTTACCATGCTCCACATTTTTGGTTATTTACTGCTCAGAGTAGTAAATCACTGTAAAATATTCTACAAATGAGTTAGTTGCTAGGTTGCACTCAATCAAGTTCTTCTTTAGTATGGTCTTTGAACTGTTTCCACAGGGAACCACAGTCCCATTCTCCATACAGTATAGGAACTAGGTGGGCATTCACTCAGGCATTGTCTAAGTCACATGTCTGGTCCATATACTTTGGCCCTCATTATTAATGCCTTGGTGGCCACTGAAGGATTTTATCACAGATCAGCTTGTCATGTCAACTCACTCAGAGTAGGGTCTGATGGTATCTTTGGTAGAACTTCTCTGGTTGATTTCTCACCAACACCATTGTGGCATGCACTGTGTATGTGTGGATTATGTCAGTCGCTTCTTTTCATCCTGTGAATTTGGTGGTTCATTACAATGAAACAGCAGGATGAAGGTTGCAGGCTATGCAAGTCGGGCAAACAGAGTCCTCAGACAGTGGGAGCTACCACAAAGTGCAATTTGACCAACGTTATGTAGTAGGTTCTCTTATTGCTTCTATATGTATGGATCAGCACTCCATTGTGCTAAATGCCTCAAATACAGTCAATCTTATGGGTTCAGTTGCATAATGGAGTTAAACTGACTCCAAAAACGTTACTGGTTTTCACAATATCAGGTGAAGTTTAGCCCGTCTGTAAAGACCATTGCCGAGGTGTAGCCACCATGGTCAAAACTAACTACTTGAAGCTCTATATATGAGTTAGGTATAAAATTGAAAGTCACAGCACAAGTCAGCAGGCTACAAGGAAAACATGATAAAGGTACAGCTGTTGTGGGTGGTCATCTGCTTGTTCTTTTATTGAATCCCACATACTAACCAGATCAAACAAATATTCAGGGGAATTTTGAAATGTTATTTTATGTTTTTATTTTTATATTATCATCTGTATTGCTTTTAACTCTCTATTTATTGTTTTTACATTATTTTATGATGTCCCATAATAATATGAAAAACTTAATAGATGAAATATTCTATTATTCTCATTTTAAATCCCCCCCAAAATCATTAAGTTACTAATCAATCAGTATTCTTAGTACTGATTGAAGTGCTCTTCTCTAGATCAAAGTATCTTGTCTGTTATAATGAAAATTTGAAATTATTTCATTACAATACAAGCTGTAGACACTTAGTGCCAAATCATTTTAGTATACCATGAGAGATTTTCAGCTAGAAAAGATAAAATATTATGCACTACTACAGTTACAGGCATGTCATGAAATAATGGAAAAATAAAATCTCCACAAGGGGAAACAATTCAAAGCAGTTTTTTTTGAAATTCTGAAATACTTTTCTTTTCTGAAATAAAAAACACTGCGAAATATTCTTCTGTAGACACCTTTGTCATAAATCAGCATTTTTCTAAACATTTCAATTTAAACAAAAACAGCATTTTCTGTTGAAAAAATATTAATTGAAAAGTTTCCGAACAGTCTATTCATAAAGTTTTGTGTATGGCTGGTTAAAATTGGTGTTTGTCATCTCTATCAAAGAGAAAAACAAAGATCTTCTAAGCTTTTCCCATTCCTAAAACAAACTGAATGCTCTGTATATGACTACATCAGCTGCTCAAGATTTGACACCTCCACGTGTGCTTTTTTCCCTTTTGCCACAGTGCAAAATAACCACACAATAAGAACATATGTGTTAATTCAATGTAGAGAAAAAGTTGCATTTTAGCATTTCTCTCTCAATTTAAGTCCAGTGATACTGCATCAAGGGAAGGGGGTTATTTCACTAGTAGTGGAGACAACTATCTGATAGCCGCCTGACACAAGGTGTCGTACAAGACTTGCCCATCTATCGACTATTCCAAGATGTTCTTCTACTTGTTCTACTTGGACATTCTGCCCCTGCAAGCAACACACTGCATCCTCTCATGTGGCAACTTTACCCTCAGAATATTTGCCTTTTGCTGACCATTCCTCTGTTACCTTTTTGTTCTTTCTACCTCTGCCACAATGCAAAGCACATGGTCTCTGCCTGGGTGCTGACAGCCAGTTGGCCAAGCTCAGTACTACAGAGCAGATAAAACAAAGGAAGACCTGTTTCTGTCTGAGTGGCTACTTTTCCCTACTGTATATGGTGGAGAAAATCCTATTCTTGTTCCTAAGGAAGAAAGGCTAAGGCTAGAAAGGAAGAGCATTTAAAATGGCTGCAGAAGCCCCCCCCACACTGCTGTTCTTCCAGCCTTTGTAGCTTTTGGGTTCCAGCTCTCTACCACTTAAAATTACAGATTTCAAAAAGCAGCAAGAAACATGGAAAGTCACTAAAAGTTTAAACTATGCTGCTTAGGGCCCAAATCTGGTCTTGTCTTATTTGCTCAAGGTCTACTTGAGCAGTAACATTTATTCTCCCTGTATTTCTGACTTAAAAAAGGGATCAAGTATACGATGGGACTCTGGGCTACTCTGTGATTCTTGGATCACTAGATGAATCTCTCGCAAAATACAATCAGCATTTGTATACATCTTGGGATATAGGACCCCTAATAGACTGTCCAACAGTTCTTGCATGTGTCTGTATTGGGTTTGTCCCAATGTAGCTAGACACCTGTACAAAACTCACTGGCAATGCACTGCACCTACCCCAATTTCAAATCGCATCAGTGCAAACCCATGTTACAGCACTTTTGTGCCTGGAGTTTGTCAGTGTTGGTTCAAGTAGTCTCAGTATAAAATGGCTCTAAGTGTCAAGTGAGACAAGAATAGCTATTTGAAAGACCAATTCAATTATCTGTAGACTACCACTCGTAAGACACAAGTGAAAACATAACATCAAGGTGAATTAATGCAAAAATACTCAGAGGCCTATAACAAGTCCTGAGGAAGAG